CATTCTCATTTGGTCATCAAATCTCAGAATCTTGATGATTCTATGGCTTTCACAAGTCATCTGTGGAGTCCCTGAATTCTACACAAGAGAACACAGAAAAAAATCGAGGAAATATTAAGTTCAAGATTTTATTTTAGGGCAGAGGGAGAGATAGCTCTGTTGGTAAAGTTCTTCTGCCGCAAGCATGAAGATGTGAATTCAGTCTCCAAACCCACATACAAAGATAGACATGGTGGCGTGTGCTTGTAATGTCATCAATGGTATGATGGGTTACATTATTATTGCCCATGAAGCTTTCTGGCCTTAAATGCTTTGGGAAGTTCCAGTTCAATGAGAGACCCTTTAAACAAAAGATAGATAGCATCTGAGAAAATAACCCAAGGTTGTTCTTCTGACCTCCACACACATATGTATACACATACACATGTGCACATATACATGATCATAAACACTCACATACACAAGTGAAATAAAAATACATTTTATGTGAACAAAGAGTTTTATTATAAGGCAAATTCAAGAACTACCCCCATGGTCTATACACTTCTCTTGAGTTCATTGTACCAAGCATAACTTCTCTGTCATACTTAATATCTTTGCTTTTTCCTTTCATGTTGAATTTGGACATTTCTTTTTCTGTAGCAGTTATTTTGAGTCAACAGAAACAAGAATAATTTATAACCCCCCACTTCACTATGGGTTGAAGGGTGTCAGAATCAAAATATGTCACCCCAAAATATGCATCTTGAACATGCAGATTATTTTGCCCAATGGCAAGTGAGAACCAGCATGTACAGGGAAAGCTTCTTATCTATACCTAGAATAAAGTGTAAGTGTAGTTTCCTTTTTTGTAAAGGATGGTTGCATTCATAAAGCATGTCCCTTCAATAAGAAGAGAGATACTCCCAAAGACAGTTCCTACCATCTGAGAGTCTTCTCTCCTGTAGACATAGCAAGACTACCCTACCTGACCATACACTTTTTCTTCTCACCTTCCCGTAAGCAGCTTCCTTGGCCCAGGGCTAAAAACCCTTTTTCATTGTCTTGGCTAAGGTGTATAATGCCTTAGTCATCTGGTCACCTCAAGTCTCATTTCTTCACGGGGAACCTTCTGTAGTTACTTTCTGTTTGCAGTGATAAAGTACCTCAACAAAATTACGCCATGTTGCCATCCACCATTAAGACAGGATTTCCCACCTCAATAACCCAGGTAATCCCTCACAGGCATGTGTGTCCTGGGTGATTCTGGATACTGTGATGTTAACATTCAATATTAACCATATATGATTTCATGCACACATGTTGATACATGTACATAATTTAAAATCAACCTTACATCCATTGTAAAAGGAGCCGTGGGTTGTGTTCCCGCCCGGATCTCGGCTAGCTTATCCGTGAAATAATTACACAGAAACTGTATTCTTTTAAACACTGCCTGGCCCGTTAGTTCTAGCCTCTTATTGGGTAAATCTTACATATTGATTCAATCCATTTCTAATAATCTGTATGTCACCACGAGCTTGTGGCTTACCAGGAAAGATTCAGCATGTCTGACCTGACAGCTTCATGGTGGCGGCTCTCTCTGACCCTGCTTCTTTCTCCCAGCATGCTGTTCTGTCTACCCCACCTATCTAAGCTGCTGTCCTATCAAAAGCCAAGGCAGTTTCTTTCTTAACCAATGCAAATAACACATAGACAGATGACCCTCCTACATAAATCCATGCTTTGTTCATAAGTATAACCAGTGAATAATAGTTGTCAGAAGAAAGGATAAGATTTTTAAATTTTTGTTGATACTTAAAAGACATGAGGTTTTTGTTATTTCTCTTTCTTTCTTTTACTTTTTTTTAAAATGACCAAATTCAACAGAGAAAATTGTTGGATACCTAAACATGGCATAACATGTAAAGCTTTGTCGAGTGTGAGCTGGAGAGCTGCTGCTACAGATAGGAGTGCTTCTTAGCCACTGAACGTCCTCCGTTTGAAGAGGACGCAAGTTTGGTTCTCAACACCCTAGTCAGAGAGTTCATCCCCACCTGAAAGTCCAGTTCCAGGGAATCCTATAGCCTCTTCTGGTCTCTTCTGGCACCTTCACTCACGTGCACATGCCGCCACACATAAACACACTGAAATCTTGAAAGCTATACTTTTGAAAGTTAGGCATTGTGAGGTTGGAGAGATCGCTCAGTCCATAAATTGTCTGATATACAAACATGACAGTTTGAATCTGATCCCCAGAAGCCATGCTAAAGGAAGGAAGGAAGGAAGGAAGGAAGGAAGGAAGGAAGGAAGGAAAGAGTGAGAGAGGGAGGGAGGGAGGAAGGGAAGGAGGGAGAGAAAGAGGGAAGGGAAGAGAAGGAAAGGGAAGGAAAGGGAAGAAGGAAGAAAGGAAGGAAGAAACAAAAAAGAAGGAAGGAACAAATAAAGAAAACAAAAAACAAACAAACAGGCATGTGCTTTTACTCCCAGCACTAGGGAATCAGAAACAGTTATATTCACAGGGATTGCTGGCCAGCCTGCCTAGCATCTCTCTCAATAACAATTTAAAAATCAAGGTAAATGGTATCTGAAGAATGGCAACCCAAACCAACTTTGAGTTTCCATAAGCACCCGCTTATACAGAAACATGTGCACCCTATCATATGCATACACATACCAGCCCCCCCCCCAAAGAAAGTTGGTACATTCTAAATGTTATAACAAAGATGTTGGTGCAGGAACATAACATGTCAGAAACCAATAATTTAATAGTAATTCATTCAAGCCTATGGACAGTAGTTCTACAAGCCTAAGTTCGTCATAGTGAGCATTATGGTGGAACCAATCAGATTCCCTAGCCTAAGTCGGCCCCACACACACTAACGGGAAAGGCAGCTCCGTTTAATGGCAGTCTGCCTTCATCTGTATGTTTCAGAGTTTCTATTTTCATTCCTAAGAGTTCTGGTCTTTGATTCAAATCACACAAAAGAATACAAGGGGAGAAAGCTTAAGTAAGATGCAGGGTCTAGAATGAAGATGGGTCGGGTGACAACTTCTGTTTTATTTCTTCTAAATTTGTTTCGTTAACTAAAATTTTTTAAAAAATGAACATAAGAAAAACACTGACTCACTAGCTATAGGATATTGCCAAGACACAGTATGGGCTTTTATGTGAAATGGAAAAATACAACCAACTTGCATGAATCTATGTTGACCAGGGTGAGGGGTGGGATGGCAATCTGCACCGTGTAGACAGCCCTACAAGTGGCTTATGTGGCACAGAAAGAGCCATGAGCTCCACGACGTGGATGTGCCCTCACACTGTGTCTGAAGCCTCTTGTTGCCTGTGCCCTCACTCAGAAGTCACACCCCAAGGATAATGGAGAGGAGGCTCAGTGGTTAAGAGCACTTGCTGCTCTTCCAGAGTCATGTTCAGTTCTCACGTGAGACAGCTCACAACCACCTGTAACTCCATCTCCAGGACGTCTGGTACCTCCCACTGCCTTCCGCCAACCCCTATATACAGCGCAGTGGCTCCCACTCACACATACTTGAATTCATGCAAATGATAAATTGTAAGAAAATGAAGAGCCTCACATAGAGGCTCACAAGAGCAGCAAACCAGCAGCTGGGGGTCACCTCCTTCCCCACATACTTTCCTTCCTCTTTAGGCCTTGTTAAAAGGCATTTGCATCTTTCAATTATGCGTTTTCCCCATGCTGTCTGTTAGGGGTGAAGTTACCCCCCAGGCTCTGGGGTACTGAGAACTTTGAGAGTCTGAAGTAAGCTCCACAGTGGGCAACCTCAACCTCTACTAACAGGCTGCAAGGCAGCTGGTGTCCCCCAGTACTCAGGGGATATAAACCTTTGGCTGCTGGCCAGCTCCAAGCGAGAGGTGCCAGACACCCCTTTCTTCTGTCAGCTGTCACACCAGCTCCTTGGCTTTTAATCTTTGATCTTCCTCCTCCATAAGGAGGCCTTTCAGGAATCACTGCTTGGATCCTCATTTGCATCTCCATTTGCATGCTCATTTGCATGCTCATTTGTATCCCCATTTGCATCCTCATTTGCTTCATCAACTCCTCCCAATCACCAAATCCTTTATAAATAATCATTACCAACCACGGATTTTTATCAAGATAAGGTAAGCTTAATGGCTCCCTTGGGGCCCATTAAGACCTAAGCCTTATCCAGCTGGCCATTTTGAAGGCATCTGTGTTTGAGGTCCACACAAACAAACAGGAAAACTCAGTAACAATAGACCAGTGTCTCTCTAAACACAGATGGAAAACAAACACTATGTGCTAGTCCAGAGTCATCCCTGGAGATAAGGTCATGCCTGGCTCCTCCATCACTCAGTCTACCCGAAATAAGTCATAAAGATTATATGGTTGTGAGACTCTAACTAGGCAAGCCTCATTTTACATTTGTTATATAAATATAAACATATTATATATAAATATAGAGAGATACAGAACATTTGTTCCATCCAGTGAAATAGGTTTTAGACAAGATGAAGTAAATCAGTGACGGTAAATGCCCCCACTAGTTTTGATGAACTCTGCTGACATCATAGAAATATTTCAAAGTGAGTGTAGTCTGTATTTACAAGGAAAGCTCTGATGACCAGTAAGATTAAAAAGCATGCTTTGTAAATTTAAAAAAACCAGTTGGTCTTTCTGTGACAAAGTGTGACTATTGAATATTTTTCCACTACGTCTTTATGTGCAGGTATCTACAGCTTTAAAAGCTAAAGGGAAGTAAATTTGTATCCTGTTATTAAAATTATTATTGCAGATTGCTGGATTACACGGTGCCTGAAAAGACAGAATGCCATCTACGTTCGTGTTTCTATTCTAGTCATGAAACTCAGAGAACTTCACACATCTGTGAATATCTGTCATTGGAGCGCTTGCCTTTTGCAATCTGAATACATAAAGTTTAAAAGGTTTATTTATACCAACTCCAAATGGCAAACATTTAGGTTTCTGTCTTCCTTTGTCTCTGAATATTTTTCCCAGGGTCAACGTCTCTTTGAGAAATTGCTCCAACTGACGTCACAAAACATCGAAATCAAGCTGGTGAGCGACGTGACCGCTGCTTCAAAGGTATTAGAAGCCTTGAAATTAAAGGGTAAGGCCAAGGTCGATGCTACTTTACCGTGGACATTCTGTGACAATACCGCGAATTTCACCTCAAACAATACATCATTTCTTTCTCATTAGTACATTACACATATTGTTTCTTAGTTCTCCTTTGGCCCCACCCTCCCCCACCAAAAAACAAAACCCTGATTACAGCTATGAAGTGAGGAAACTAATTAACCAATGCTACTGAGATTTCGATAGTGGTATTTTGTATATTGGTTTATGAGAAATAATCTTCTGTCCATTAAATGATGTTTAGTTAAGAAGAAGAATCAGACTTTTCTGCACAGACCAGTACTTTGATCTGAAGAAAAGAGCCACTTCAAGGGAATTAAGTACTAGGTTTTCATTTCTCTCCTGCCAGTCAGGTGGAAATCCTCTTTGTGTGATGTAGTCTTCAGTAATGGGCTTGGGTCTAGGAACCCCGGAAGCACTGTGATTCCTGACTTTAGGATAATTCCACAGGAAACCCCACTCACCTGTCCACTCTGCGGTGTGCCCTGACCACGGCCACACTGAGCTTCGTCCGGCCATAATTTTCTTTCCCTGTCATCGTCTCTAGCTGGATTCTCAATTCCAAATAGGTTTTTTTTTTAATTTTGTAAAATCGTGTTCTCAGCATTTCCTATGCAAAACTGCTGATGTGTAGCACAGATTGACACCTGAAACCCAGAGAAAATGGTCAAGCTGCAAGAAGAGAACAAGGCGAGGTCCTCCGGGAGTCTCTGTGTTTTACCCGGCTGTGCTGGCTCTCAGCTGTTTGCTGTTTGAACAGAGTGTGCATGCTTCCAGGACTAAGTGATAATAGTTTCTAAAAGTAGGACAGATTGACCCTCGTAAGTGAGCCCAAGTGACATAAAATATATTGAAGCTAGGCATGGTTGCTCATGCCTTTAATCCCAGCACTCAGGAGGCAGAGGCAGGTGGATCTCTGTGAGTTCAAGGCCAACCTGATCTACAAAGTGAATTCCAAGACAGTCAGGACTATTATACAGAGAAATCCTGTCACAAAATTAAATTAAATAAATAATTGAAATAGAGAAAGAAAAGACCTAAGATTGGATATACACATCAACATTGTACAGACGGCTTTGCATTGCTATAAGAAAGTACTTGAGATAATTAACGTAATAAAGGAAAAACTTTACTATGACAGATTGTTCCATAAGTGGGTCCCTTGGCAACTGTCCCTACTGCACTGGGCCTCTGGTGAATAGTTCAAAGTGCTAGCACAGGACAGCGGAGATTGTTTGGCTTAAGACAGCCACAAAGCATATCAGAAAAACAGGGAGAGATCACGTTATCAGTCTCTCTTTGGGGACCTTTAGGATGCCACCTTAAGGCTCCACCACCATCCATACAGCAGCACAGACTGAAGGCCAAGCCGTCCTGACATGGGGCTTTGGGAAACACTGATCACAAAACCTATCACCATGCTACTAGAGCCAGTGTTATCATTTTGCTTTCTTTTGTTTTGATCTTTTGAGATAGAATCTCACCACGCAGCCCTGACTGACCTAGGGCTCACTATGTAGACCAGGCTGGCTTCAAATTTGCAAACAATCCTCCTGCCTCTGTCCCCAGACTGCTGAGGTTCCAGACAAAAACTACTATACCTATAGCTGTTTGCTTTTTTTTTCCCTCTGTGTAGGAAAGTTTAAATATGTGTGGGATGTTGCTATATCTGAAATTTTTCAATTAACTTTTTTTTCAGTTAGCATACTTTTTAAAACTAGTCAATACCCAGTTCAGGCACGGTTCAGAGGGCTCTGAAATGTATTATTACTTTTCACACTTAAAGAACATATCAAATTGAGTCTCTACCATCCATGCATTTGCTCTCTAACACACCCTCTTTAGGAAGGGATTCCCTTTGGGTAACTGGGGAGTGGGAAGGGCTGTATTTGCAGTTTTCAGAATACTTTTCTCAATAAATCTGTTTGCATATCCTTGGACTTATTAATGGGGGAAGAGAGGGCCTGAGAAATACCATTTCTTCCTAGCTATAGCCCTTGTTAAATCTTGTAAAGTTGCTGTGGATGGACGATAGGTGGGTGGATGGGTGAAGGGATGGATTGGATGGATGGGTGGTGGGTAGGTAGAGGGACAGATGAAGGGGTGGATGGATGAATGGATGATAGGTGAGTGGATGGCTGGATGGATGAATAGATGAATGATACACAATCAGAGAGTCTCTTAGTCAGCCTGTGTGACTCCAATTAAATGCCAGAGACTGAGAAATCTATAAAGAACAGAAATGTATATTCCCACAGTGTGGAGTCTGAAACTTCAGCCTCACAGCATCCACAGTGGTGTCTGGCCAGGGCCTCTTCTCTAGGTCTAAGATAGAGCCTTGTGTCAGTCTCTCCCTGCTGGGCCATCATATGAAACAAGATAAAGCGGTAGGCATGTTTCTCATAGCAATTTCCCAAAGGTTCCACTTATTATTAGCACCACAAGAGGATAAATCTGCGTGTGAATTTGGGAGAAATATTAGATCATAGCCAATAGAATCATGGATAGGTAGGTAGGTAGGTAGGTAGGTAGGTACGTAGGTAGGTAGATAGATAGGTAGATAGATAATAGATAGAAAATAGATAGATAGATAGATAGATAGATAGATAGATAGATAGATAGATAGATACATACATACATACATACATACATAGACATGTAGATAGAGATAGAGACATAGATAGAGACATAGATAGATATATGACAGATAGGTCTTCAGATCTTGCTTGAGGTTTTAACATTAAAGTTCCAGGATTTTCTCTTCTCTCTCTTTATGCTCACATTGTCTTCTTTAAAAATCTAAGAAAGAGGGATCTCACTATGTTGCCCATGTTGGCCCTGAATTCTTGAGCTGGAACAATCCTCCTGCCTCTGGAACGGCTGCAATTACAGGACGCACCACTGTACCTTGCTCAATTCTGCTACTCTTTGTTGTCTCCTTGTCACCTTGACAGTGCTCAGGCCCTGCACCATCTGCACCATGTCGTCTGTGTCCTTTGTGACTAGGATCTTGTCAGGTGATTCACACAGGTGCAGTCTGTGGTTTGAATGGAACTGACATTTGGGACTTCCCTCATTAGCAGGTGAGCTCCGCAGACAGCCTCCCCTGTACTGCTGGACAACTGACAGTTGTGGGCCCTACTGAACACTGCAGCACCTTCAACAGCAGATATTTCATTCATGTTTATGGGTGGTCATAATTCATTGATTGAAGTTAGAATTTTATGTCATTTATCTTGTGTTTGTTTTCTGTAGCTCAGGCTGGTTTAGAACTCATTATGTGGCTCAGGCTGGCTTAGGACTCACAGCAGTCACCCAACTTTAGCCTCCCAAGTACTAGAATTCCAGGTATAGCTACTGTGCCTGGCTTTATGGGAGGCTGAGACAGGTGGATTCGTGTGAGTTCAAGGCCAGCCTGGTCTACAGACTACAGAGAGAGTTCAAGAACAGACAGGAGGCTACACAGAAAAATGCTATGTCTCAAAAACAAAAACAAAAAAAAATTAAATGTGAAACAAGACAAAAGTCCTTTCACCAATAACGCCATGTTTAAATGCTATTGTGATTGACTTTCATGTTGGTATTTATTTAAAAAGAAAAACAGAGTGAGTATCTGGGTCTTTTGTCAAATTCCAGAGGCAACCTTCACCTTTGCTTATTTGAATTCAAGGAACCTGTACTCATTCATCAACGATGACTCGTTTTCATTTTCACATCCACTGTGTGAACTTAAAATTTCAAAAGAAAGCATTCTATGTCGGAGATTGCCTGTTTAAATTTAAAATTAATGAAAGTCGCCGTGGTTTCCAACTTGAACGTTTTACAATGGCTCTTGAGCCACTTACTCCAAATGAGCAGAGTATAATTTAAGATGCGTTGACAACTGAGGGAGTGTGTGTGACTTAGGTCATAGTGCTCTATAAGTACCCTGAAATCCAGCTCTCAGGTAGGTAAGCTTGTCTGTGTTAACTTCATATCAGCGTTGAGAAGTATATTTTGGAAATTTCCCTGGAGGTCACACCGTGTTATTCCAGCGTCTACCCTCTGGAAGCTTGCCAGGGGACAGGAACTTGAGAGCCCCAGCGCTCTCTTGTCCTGAGACACTTTATTCTGAAGCCTTCTACACAGCGTAGAATCCTGGAGCAGAAGCTTTCACCATCTTTTCAATCTGCCCTGGCAGTGACTAAGGTCAAGATGTCCTACCGCCACCCATGCATGATTCTCTGCCGGTCTTAACTCTCGTGTCACCCTTTTCTAAGGTGAAGTCATTCGGGCACACGCTACAGAGCATAAAGGCTGGGTGGTCCCTCTGTCTCATATCTGGTCATTAGCGTTTGAAGAACTCTGTCTTTCCTACTTCTCTTCACAGAACACTGAAACATTTAGTAGAGCAGGGACTGCTCCACCTGTGTGTATCTGAACACAGTGCGCTCTGATACTACCTGAAGTGACCGCAGAACATTTAGACAAAGGTCCTATTGTGTCATACGCATAGACAGTGCTGAAATTCTGGGCCCGTCATTACGGTGGAATGCAATCTTAAGTAAATTATTTTTTTCTGAACCTCAGCGTCTTTATCAATAAAATGGTGATAATAGTAACTTCTCTGAAGGATATGGGAGTTAAACAAATGACATTTGCTTTGGACATTGGTGTAATTTGTGGCACGTTACTTTAGTATTTTATGTCTTAGTCTATGCTGGGTCCATTTCTGCTCCTACAACTTACTGCCACCCCAGCCCTGTGATTCTCTAGTGATAAGAAAGTCCACTTCTAACTCTGTTATAGGACAACTTTGGGACAACCATGGGTACCCCTCTGTTTGTGTTTATGCAGTGATTCTAGGTAAGCACCAAGTTGACTTCAAGGTGTTGGATGAGTTCTGCGGGTGATTAACATCCCAGGCTGTTGCCAAAACAACCCTATCAAATGTCTTTTCCAATTTGGGCTTTTATATCCTGTCTCTGGCAC